ATCATTTTTTTCTTCTTTTTTGGGGATTACTAGAAGTGAGCACTGTGCTCATTGGATGTCAAAGCCAGGCTGGCTCTAAAGCATGGTGGGACATTAGTCATGTCTACCTTTACTTTAGCTAGCAGTATACAATGAAGACATTTGCCACCACTTCACTAATTGCAACATTTAGGTCATGCTGTGCTGCATGTATGTTTATGTAGTGTCAGCAATGTGATGCTTGCAGCACATATAGCTCTATTGCCTTTCCCTGTAGGCCTCAACTGTGTGCTACACCTGCACAGATATTATCTTCTCAGGCTTTGTGTCGTCAGCATTCCTGTATCTGCTGCTCGGTATCCCATCACAGCCTGAAGCCTCTTGTATCTCAGAGTCCAACAGCTCCATCACTCTCCGTTTCACAACCAACACACCAAGCACTGGAAATAGCCAGTAAATGGCAAGTGGTGGGAGGAGTTCCTGCTTAAGGAGACTGTAGACCACAAAAGGAGGTCCCATTTGGTAAGCCCTTGTAGTTGGTTGCTGTTAGAGTAAGCTGCTTGAATGAGCGTTAATGTGACCATTAACCACCTGGTTTATAAGTGAACATATACTAGAGCAGTGTTTTCCACACCGGTCTTTAAGGCTCACCAACACTTTCTGTGTTATGGATATACACATAAGCAGCTAAATATCATTGCTGAGAAAGTAATTGGAAATGAGAGGTTACCGCCAAAAACATTGCTCCAAAAGCACGGTTGCTGGGATGTGATAAATTCAGGAAACAATGAACTAGAGTACAATTTAAACATATACAATGTAATCTTTTCCAGCATTTTAGACAAGGTTGAAGCTATGACAATGGCCACAATTCGTTTTACCTTGTTACTGCAGGAATGAGGTTTACACGTAGATTTAAGCTGAACGTGTCAGGTATTTGCGTGGAGTGTATTGCGTTTTGGAAAGGATTGTGGCCGTGCACCACCCACCAATGACTCCCAGGATTGGAGCTTTACTTGCGGTGAACTGATCTTCTGTCTGGAGCAATTTTTTGGACCGTAGTATCACTGTAGTTATGCAATAGGACTAGGGCATTCCCTATTAACCCTTTGTACATGAGCTTGAGGGTATTTGAAAGATTTAGCAGTGCTTTGCACAATTCTGTTAGCCAGTATAGAGTAGCTTTGTTGAAGTTTGTAAAGCAAACGTTAACTCCAGTTTGTGGATGTAAAGACAGATAATGGAAGTGATGGCTGTCACTTTAAATAAACTCTTGGCAGACTTTTAACAATTGTAAGCAGTGCTGATGCTTGCTAGCAGCTTGTTTAAAGTGACAGCAATCCCATTATGTGTTCAGCCTCTTCATACTGGAGCTGAAGGGTGCTTTAAAGGCTTCCAGAAAGTTGCTTGAAAGCTGTACACATTGATCTCATACAAGGTGAAGCCCATTAGTACAAGGCCTAACCTACTCGGTTATGAGTGATGTCAAAGAGGAAGTCAAATGACTGCACCTTGCCCTCAAATAGTAAAAAGGGCCAATACTTTTCTGTCCGGTCAGCCAATCAGACTGAATTCCAGTTCTCCCCTTCAGATCAAATTCCCAGTTATACAGTCATGTGGCCATCTGCTATGTTCATTGATATCTTAATTTTCAACAGGAGAGGCAAATACTAAAATACGTTTAACAATTATAAAATGCTCCGGCCTTAATCTTGGAGGTCATCTTAACACTACAAAATGAATTGGGGCTTCCCAAAGGGCTAGACATTTTTTCTGGCCATCCAAAAAAGGGGAAGAAAATGGTCCAGAAATGTACACTATATTGCCAAAAGTATTGGGACACCCCTCCAAATCATTGGATTCAGTGGAGACATGTTCTCTGGAGTGACGAATCACATTTCTCTGTCTGGCAATCCGATGGATGTGTCTGGGTGTGGCGGTTGCCAGGAGAACAGTACTGCCCTGACTGCATTGTGGCAAGTGTAAAGTTTGGTGGAGGGGAATTATGGTGTGGGGCTGTTTTTCATATGTTGGGCGTGGCCCCTTCGTTCTAGTGAAGGGAACACTTAAGACATCAGCATACCAAGACATTTTGGACAATTTCATGCTCCCAACTTTGTGGGAACAGTTTGGGGATGGCACCTTCCTGTTCCAACATGACTGCGCACAAAGCAAGGTCCATAAAGACATGGATGAGTGAGTTTGGGGTGGAGGAACTAGACTGGCCTGCAGAGTCCTGACCTCAACCCAATAGAACACCTTTGGGATGAATTGGAGCGGAGACTTTGGGCCCGGCCTTCTCGTCCAACATCAGTAACTGACCTCACAAATGCGCTTCTGGAAGAATGGTCAAACACTCCCATAGACACACTCCTAAACCTTGTGGACGCCTTCCCAGAAGAGTTGAAGCTGTTATAGCTGCAAAGGGCGGGCCAACTCAATATTGAACCCTACGGACTAAGACTGGGATGCCAGTAAAGTTCATGTGCGTGTAAAGGCAGGCGTCCCAATACTATTGTCAATATAGTGTATATCATGTTAAGTCCTGGGATGGCCAGATGTTTTGCTGTTCAAAGTGCTCAGGTTCCTCATAAGCATTTATGCCCACGCACTGTTTGTGACGTGACTTTTGCATCTTGCAGTAAATAAACCAGTACCAGCGTGCTGTGCAGGAACTTCAACCTACCATAGAAATGAACTGAGGTGTGCTGACCGTCCATGACTGTGTAAGGGAAGTCTTAATTTAGACCATTTAATTTCGTCAAAATAGTATCTTTGCAGAGAGGCAACTCAAAGCTAACCGTGTCGTTACAAGGTCATAGTTATTTAGATGTGTAAAGGTGACATGCATGAATAGTCTGCTTATGGTTCACCCTTTCTTTCGGGAATAAATGATACAGTAACTGACAAAAGTACATGACAATAAAAAAAAAAGGACTAATATAGACATTAAACCTGTATTTTATTTAGATGAATACGCATCAAAAAGGAACATTTATAAACGTTTTTTAAATATATCCTAAATCAGTGTACAAAAAAGCATCAGCATTAAAACTAAGTTTCGCAAGCAGCCATGGGTTGTAGTGAGCTGAAAAGTAGTGATGCCGATAGGGAGCAGAGGTCAGCCTACAGACCAGCCTAGTGAAAGGCAGCATTGCTTTGTATACGCTGCACAAACATCCATACTGAAAATGGAAAATAGAACGGTATTATATCTGCAAAAGTATCACTAATGGTTTCTGCTGCAAATCATTAAACATAAAAATATGGGATTAGGTTTTTAATTTGCCATTTTGTTCCCCATAATACTTTCAGTTGTATCACTGTTGACTTATAACAATGCTATACCATTGAGTTACAGTATAAATAAACCTTTGCAAACCTGCAGTGAATTTAAAAAGTGTAACATGACAGCAAACATTTTTTTCTGCCATAATATGTGGCAGTCTGAAACACCGAGTATTGTTTTTTATGTATTTCTTTTGCCTTTGTATTACAACATGTAATAAAATACATACAGAAAACAAATGTCTCAACCTTGTTATAAAAGGTTATATATAATGTAAAGTAGGCTACACACGCAGCGCATTTCGACCAGTTCTTAATGAATCAGACGAAAGTCACAGAGCGGATGCTGCTGTTGGCAGCCTTCCGACCGGGTATCCCTTGATCAGCGGATTCTTGGCCAACAGGAGCTTACAGCCAATCAGCTGCCGTCAGAATACCATAGAAACAGCAGGGGATTCCTCGATCAACGCGATGAAATAATCTATTACATTTTCTTCGTTCAGCCCGCAGGTTGAATAAATAAAAAATATATGCGTGTATACCCGGTTTAAGATTCTGGTACACAATGGCTTTGCCTTTCACGCTCAAGATTATTAGGGATTCCTCCTAGAGGATCCATATTCTGTCAAACATATGAGCAGGGTTGTTTCCTGGGCAATTTATTTTAATGCCATTATGCACCTCCAGAATCCAAGCTCTGGCTCAGCTTCCCATACCCAATGCACCTCACTACTGGTCCATCCAAGTACTGCATACCTCAAACAACAGTGAAGAGGGAGCCAAAGGTTTGGTTTCACAATGTCAACTGGAAGCCTGCATATTATCTATGGTTTTGGGTCTTCTGGAAGAAAACTGTATGTACCTCTGGGTTCCTTTCATGGTTACTGTCCCTACCATCATTACAATAATGTCTGTAACTATCTAAAATGTATGTATTCCCCAAAGAATGTATTTAATGAAAGTGAACTAGAAAGACAACACACAATTACATGGGATAAAACTAAGCATAATTGATACAAAACACTATACCTAATACATTAAAATCTTCTTCAATTAGTCAAATTTCTTTTAATCCTTTATTATTATACAGGATTTATATAGCGCCAACAGTATGTGTTGTAATCTACACACAGTTTCATCGGGGCTGAACAACCTATTAATGAATTCTGGAACCAGTACAATCTAGGCAATTTCAAAAGGTAGCTGGGAAGATTTGCAAACCATTATCAGCAGGAAGGGCTCAAAAAAGCGGCCATGTTTTAAATCACATGGGCTACTCTGCTCCCTGGATTTCCTATTCCTATTCTTGGGCTTTTTTTCCAGACTTCTGCTCTCAATTAAAACAAAGAGTGCAATGTTCAGTGACCTGCATCAGCTAATTATCCTCATTGCTTTGAGTGTTCTAAACCAAAGACATGGGTAGTCCGGTTGCTACACATCACCGTTCTTTGCACTGCCTTACGTTCATGCTTCTCTTAGTCTTATAAGTACCCTGTTTTGGGAGATTTGTTTCATACTATAGCTTACATTTTATATCATGCTGATAAAACATGTATTCATGTTCATATATGCTACATAAATACCCTGATGAGGGACTTGCCTTGCTTCCTCAGCAGCTGAAATAGAGAATGGAGCATTATGACACTTCTGTTACACATTTTAAAAGCTCACTGACTTGTAACACACATAAATCCTCATTTTTAGCAACATGAAGGAATCAAACTTTAGATTTCCATCAATACTTTAAAATTGTATTAAAAAACACAAAAGTGTTGCAGGTTATGATAGATGGAATTATATCCATAAAAAAGCCTAATAAATATCATTACACCCACATGGAAGTCAATACTCTGTGGCATTGTTTTTTCCCCAAACACAAGACTGTTAAAGGCATGATATCCAATCACAATATATGGCACACTGAATGAAGCACACCTACAAAAAGCCACATAGTCACTCCACATTTCGAGGTCTTCTTTGTGGTGCAGGCAGGACCTGCAGACACGCTGCATTTTTCTCAAAGTGCTTGTCGCTGACACTATGGATATGTATATACAAAAGTTTCCCGCTGAGGGGCACAGTTATTTGCCACTGTATTAAGCAATCATCTTCGGTTATAAAATACGTAAATGCAGGGACCCTACATGATAGTACACAGATATTTAAAAATAATTCAAACATTTAATAAAAACAGTCTTCTCCCTTAGAGAACAAGCATCCAAGAATGCGAGCAAGCAGCAAGGTTCCCTTCACAGTACACGACTGATCAGTGGTAACAGAGGGAGAATCTTTCACATCTGATCCTGAAGGAACTGACCAAATACTGAACACATGTAACCATTCACGATGAACTCCTTACCCACCCTTGTCGATGTTTCGCATGTTCATTTAAAAACTGGAGAAAGTGTAGCAGCACACAATGTCTACAATGCATCCTTCCCAGAGTGGTGAACATGCCATGGCTGTTAATCTCTTGGTATTCATGGCAAGTCAGGTTTTGTGCAAATGCCACCACTGGAGTGATTAAGGGCAAAAGGGTTATATGGAGGAGAAGGGGAAAAAAAAAAACCCTCCCCATCTTGGCAATGCTTGGCTCAAGACAGAGAAAATGTGTAGGGTGATGGTATGTGTGTGTTAATGGGGGAAGGAATATTACAGATATAAAAAGACTTTAGCTTTTCACAGCTTCCTTTTCTTTGCTTTCTGTATCCTCGGGATAGGAGTGCCACGTCAATCTTTCCTCATAAAATGCAATAACTATTTGGGGACATTTCACATTGGCTTCTTTTGCTAGCACCAGATCCGCTTCATCAGAATCTTTCCTATGGAAGAAAACGTATGTGTTACAGGAGTAGCATACATCGTATAATAAAGTCCTTTCGTTTACAAAGTGCAAAAGAAACATGGGGGCATATAACATCAACCCTGGGTATCCGTCTTATAATAAACCAACTTCTAACACAGCTATCAATGTTGTACATTCATCCAAAAAAAGTAGCACTCACTTGTTTATTTGCTTGGTTCTTCCAGAGTTACAAGATATACAAGTGACCAGCCATCTGCAGCTGAACTGAACCCCGTACTTTTTTATTTTGCTTTAACCCTAGGATGGCCAAATCTGTCCGTAGATCATCAATCCATATCTCACACTGATAGCTGATTTGACATTTTCATTGAAATCACTTCAAGTCTGCAGACAGAGTTTAAACAATCCCACTGCTATGCTTTTGGGGTGAAGATCTGAATGTTTGGCTAAGATCCATGATGCTTCCCAATTGGCTCAGACTACCATAGATTTGCTTGTGCATCTCAAGTCTTCTACTAAATTTTTACTTGAATTAAACTATAAGGCAGCATTGATTGATGCAAATGTAGACTGGTACCTACCATTTCATGAGGAACATAAGCTCTCCACAAGAATCTGTAGCACCAATGATCTTCTCAGGTTCAAGACCCCTTTCAAAACCCCGGGCAATATCATTGCTCTGTGCAAAAGAGAGAAAAACATCTTCACTCTTATTATGCAATGTCAGCTCACCATAAAAACATATTTCTTCATTCGAGATACAAAATGTCAAATCATCATGTCTCTAAAATTGTTCATGTAACATTGTTCCTGTGTGTTTTACTAAGAAAGAAAAAGAATGAAACTAAATGCCAGAAAAATGACCTAAGCAGAAATATATCGGACTAAATAAAGCAGCAGATTCAATGAGCAATAGTTCCAATCAGCAAACCTTTGCTTTTACCCATGCAGCACTCCGGGTATGGAGGAGCATGTGACAGCACTGGTGCTTGGTGATTAGCCCTGAGCGGTCACAATGGAGTAGGGAGTGTGTCCACTGACTGAACAGAATTATCTTTATTTCCAGCAGCTAAACAGAGCTACAGGGGAATGAAGGAAAGGTGAGTGAGTGTGTAGCTGGGGAGTAAACCATATGTCAGTATAAAAATATGGAAGCTGCAATTGCTGACCTGTTTTTGAAGGGGCATAATTTTGAAGGGGCACCATGTCCGGATCATCTCCAGAGCAGACTGTTTCCCGATCCAAAATGCATCCTAATGTATCCCTATGCTATTTCTGGCCTCTGTTCACACCAGCGCAGTCCATTCCAGACCAGAAAAATACTGCTCGTCTTATTTTGTCTGGTCTGGAATGCACTGGAACGCATCAAAAATGCATACAAACGCACTGGAACGCACCTGTAAGACCATTTTAAGCTTAAAAATAAAAATTCCAAACGCTGCAAAATCTCGGTATAAACACGGCAAACCGTGTTCCCGATCTGGTCCGGAAAATGGTGAACCTGCCCTTAGTATGCCACTGACCTAGAACGAGTGTGGGTCATTACTGGCAACTAAACAATATATTTGGGTTGGGGGATACATGCTGGTGGCTTTAATCATTCATTGGTTGGCTTCTAATAGCAAATGGGGACTTCAGTGACATTATTTATCATCTAGATTGGTCACATGGAGTCCCAATGTAACATGCAGAGGAGAGAACAAAAGGGAACAGAGCGCCACCGCCGTGTGTAAAATCGTTTATTAGGATGAATAAAACAAGGGATAAATGTACTCGCAAGCAAACGTTTTCATCACGCTTTAGCAACAAACAAGGTGGCTTGCCCCTGAAACGCGTCAATCTTGGCTGACTTCGGCCGGTGATGTGACCGGAGGCCACCTTGTTACATAGTCGGGGCAATACCATGTTGGGTTAACAGACAGTGTGGCCTCTTTGTTGATAAAGCGTGATGAAACCGTTTGCTTGTGAATACATTTATCCCTGGTTTTATTTATCCTAATAAACGATTTTACACACGGCGGTGGCGCTCTGTTCCCTTTTTGTATTCTATGTTCGTGGTGGAAGCCCCAGAGCCTTGGATGAGCAGCCCCTCAAGTCTGTGTGAAAAACTGATAAACTGTTGAAAACTGAGTATGCAACAGCAAGTGGATCGTTCAGCTGGCAGCCATTAGCGCCAAGAGTTAAAGAAAACTTTTTGTCTGATGCAGAGGAGAGAGTAGAAACTGGCCATGGTAGGGAAAACGGTTTCTCCTACAAACAAAGCCCAATTGAAGTCTCACACAAATGTTTTGATTTAATCTTTTTGTTTGAAAACAGCTTAAAATACCATTTTCTCTTATTCTTGTATATGAGGGAAATCATCTAATGGATCCATTATCTAGCTACTGAGGCCTTATTGGTCCTGAAAGTCTTATTAGGAAGCCTGAAGCCTACTAAGAGGTGACGTGTCCTAAATTCTCTTGTGACCTCTAAATAATGCTTACACGGAGTGAATGAAATATTTTCTTTGAATTGTCACAAAAAGATGATAAAACTATTTCCTGTTTGTCCTGTGGAATCTTGAAGCCACCTTAGGTGAGTACATTGGATCTGATCTTACATCAATCTATCCTGTAGTGTCAAGTATTTCTTTTTTTTTTTATTCATAGTGCTTGTAAAGTCATCTGTTCCCCTCGCCGAATTGCTAGACGGAAGGTTGTATTAAGTGTCACAAATTGAAAATTGCTTTAACCGGGGCCAGTGTTAAACCCCTAAAACGTTTGAGGTCCCGTAGTGGCTCCAATCTTTGGAACAATGGGGAGTACTTTGTTCTCTTGCAGTTTTGTATCTTAGAACACAGAAGGAGTTGAAACCTGTACTTTTAGAGCACAAAGGGTTAAGACCTGGTCAAGCCCATCCTTTGAAAATTCCAGGATAACTGAAGTACTCAGAAATTAGTGTTTATTCTTGCAACACCAGGAAAAAAAAAAAAGTTTTCCCGGACTTTGGCATCAATCACCCTCTGTGAACACCCTCTGGTACGTAGGGTTCTTCCATTAACCCCTTAATGACCGAGGCCTTTTTTTGCTTGTTGCACACATTATAATGCACATTTTAGGCCTGAAAATTACTTAAAACCACCAAACATTATATATTTTATAAAAGCCAAGACCCTGTAAAATAAAATGGTGGCAGTTACAAATTTTTATGTTGCACGACATTAGGGCAACTTATTATTAAGACCAAAAAGTTTGTGAAAAATGCACTTGAGTTAAATTGAATGCCCCAAAACACATTAAAATACCCATTTAAAAAAAATAAAATATAAAAGAAGGTTACAACGAGTAAATAGATACCCAACATGCCCAGGTTAAAAATTGTGTGCGTCTGTCAAACGGCAACAACATTCAGTACCCCAAAAAGTCTTCGGGTGGGAAAAATAAGTCTGTTAATGGAATATTTTCTTTTTGATGGGAAACGTTTTCCCCTTTTTGGCAGATCTAGATAGGGCAGTGTCTAGCTTAGAGCCAAACAAACCTCCCTAAAAGGGTATGCCTGTTCTGTAGTAAAAGCAGAGGGTCACTCGATCAGCACAGCAGCCATTCAGCAAACACCTTGTATTTTAAAAGCATTAGCATCCCAGGTTCACTTAAGGAGGGTCTCTGCCTTCCTATACATCTAGTCCTTAAAAAGATACAAAATCTACAAAAGGAGAGAAGAAAAATCATTGACATTGGGGCAAAGCTGCATCTAATTTGGGATAGTTGAAGAATTTCTCCTCTTTTGCAAAGGGAAAACATCTTCTCCAGAATCTGAGATCAAGTATGTTTCTCTCAAGGCTGGTGCCTCACATTAGGATTAAATCTTTTAAAGATTGGTGCATGGAAAAACACTTCCGGTCTTCTCTTGCAGTCCTCTGTACATATGATTTTGTACTAAAAGGGCTGCAGCAGACCGGGAATCTGTTCCATGGTATAGATGGCAGGGCAGAAGAAAGATCCTCCACTGAGAGGTAGATTGCAGCCCCATCTTCCTACTCTGCTAAAGAAACTGCTGGAAAGAGCATCTTCAGCCTCCACCTCCTGATGGTTATGCAAAGAAGGACCAGAAAAAAGTGGCGGAGGGGTCAGGCATTGAGGAAGAGATGAGATGATCTCTCAATAATGAACAAAAGGATTGAAATGTTAGGACAATTTCTGTTCTCACTGAGTTGAGAACAGAAGGCCAAAACTCAGGGAAACATAAGCAGTCCGGCACACACAGGGAAAACCCCTGACCCACTGGCCACCTTGGCAAGAAAAATATATAACATTATACTGCATTTCTGGATGGTAGGAAAATAAACAGAACATGGAGACTAGGGGAATACTTATACAGAGTACTTTTGTGGGACGAATGGTGAAATAGAAGTGATTTTCTAATTTTCTTTAATAATAGTTGTATTTGTAATCAATGATAGAAACATTTTCACATATGGTGCTACATGTTGCATACCCAAAGCACTCATCAGTGAACATTACATATTAAATGCTTTAGTGTCACTGAGCAGTGATTAAGCCTGGAAGGTGAAAGAAGCTAAAGTGGCAGGACCCAGGCATGATTTACCTTGTCTGGAACGATAAAGATTACTGAAATGCCGATGTGCAGCCACGCTTTTTTTTTTTTCTTCAATGGATAAAGTGAGTGGAGAAACTCATCAAACCTTGCAGTCTGGGGTTGCAGCAGTGCTAACTGGAACCTAATGTGATAATGCTAGTGAAAATGGAAGGGGGTGCAGGCATTGACCAAATACTTGGGAAAGCATCCTCTGGCATGGGAACAGTATCTGCGTGTACTTAAAGGTGTTAGCCTTACCTCTCTCCTCTTTTTGGCCTTAATGTCTTCATTCCCAGCTTTTCTTTTGGTGCTCTCTGTCTTGGGTTTGGGCTCTCCCTCTTTGGGCTTCTTGTACTTTTTCATAAACTCGGAAATCAACTCAGGACAGTCTAGATTCCCCTCTGGCTCCCATGTATTGTGTTCTCTTAAACAGAGTACAGAAATTGTAAATATCTATATAATGAATACATTTTGAGAAAGTAATATAAAATAAAAAAAAGGACCTTTCACAACATTTTCCAAATCCACCAGTGTCATATTATACATTTATCACCACTGACCGACAAACCTCTCTGCCTTGTAACCCCCAATGCAAAAACTCCTCCATACAAAACTTCCACTTTCGACCGTTTTATTTGCAAAGCAGTATGTAGGCTGGAAACATTTTGGTATATGTTTTTGATATGTGCAATTAAAATGAAAAAAAATAAAACATTAATCTCATGGAATTTGGAGTTGTCCTGTATCGTCTCAAGGAGCCATCTAGCTCTTATCGCGGACTACAGCACGATTAGCCTTTATGTTGTGGAGATCTGAGAGTAGGAGTAGTAGATTAACAAAAGCTGGGCAGGAATGACAACTCTCTAAGTTGCCAGCTCACAACAGGACATCAAAATCGTTTATATTTACTTGTACGGTCTTTAAAGTGGTAAAACATGGAGGAGACGGGGGATGTATTGAAGTGTTTTACTGCATATGGGCTTCTTTCTTTAAAATGTTTTGCCTTGACATGCGCTTTACTAAATGTGTACGAATGTAGTATCTTTAACGAGTAAATATAGAGTCAAACTGTTGTAATTTTGAATAGAGAGAAGGGGGGTTTGAAATCGGTGCCAATGTTTGCTGCTATCTTTGTCTACTGCTCTGGTGACTGGTGCCACCTGGGAGAGGACACAGAAGTAAATGTCACCAATAGAAACAAAGACACCTGTACATTTTGTAAGAGTGAGGAAAAGTTAGTGCCTATGTTAAGCTTTAATTATTGTGTTCACAATATGGAGATTTAGCTTTATTTCCTGTTTTATTAACTTTATCCATCTGAAATCGGGTGGGAGGGGAAAAAAAAAACTCCTAAAAAGGTATCACAGCAAACAAAAATAAATGTGTCAGAGGTTCTACCCCTACCCTGCTCCAAAACTAAAATTTGTCTAGACCTCTACCCCAGTGTTCCCTTAAAAGTATTTCAAATACCCTGAGTTCAGCTTTAAAGTGACATTAAAGGATAATCCCTCACCCCACATGCTGGTGTAAACACCTTAAATGATGCCTCTTGATCCGATCATCTTCTTCTTTCCAGTAGTTTTCAGCAGTCCCTCCAGTGCTGGTGCCGGTCTCTGTGTCCCACGGAGTCTGTGCGGGTGCAAGCAGCGTGCACTGACTTACCTTGCGTCTCCCGGCCGAAGATCTTTACTGCGCGTGCACCCACCCCATGATCCTTTGCGGCGGGCCCTAGTTTTTTCAGATCTTCATATCGGAGTGTGCGGCAGAGACGCAGGTAAGTTTTAACCCTTTTCTGAACTTTTTTTTAATGTTTTTGCATGTATCTGCTGCTTGCTATCAGTAGATATATGCAAAAATCTGTGAGGGTTTACTAATCCTTTAATGTAAAGTAAAACACTTTGATTTTTACCATTTGGCAATTTAATTTCTTTATCAATAGCTGGATATGATTTACCTTTATTATATAATTTGCACAATGCAGTTTATGGGATAGATTAGGATTAACTGACTGCTTTGTGAAGTTTCCTTCTTAACCACCATACCAGAATATCCAAACCCAGTGACCAATTAACCATGAGTAGCTAACTCTGCAAGACCTGTCATTTAGTTGCCAAAACTGCAAAAATGCATTGCAATGAAAAATATAACAAAATATTACATTCCAAAACATTGGGTAGTAGAAAAGTCCATTACTACCAATCTTGTATTTAAAGTGACATAATCAAGGCTTACTGCAGATAGGAGATGATACTGAATAGATAAACAAAACTTGCTTACTCAGAAAAGCCTTTCCATTTAAGTAGATATTCCGCTTGCCCTTTCACCATTCTGCGATCAAGGACTTTCTCTACCACATATTCTTCTTCCTCTGAAGAGGATTCATCCGATACCTTCTTGCTCTTTTTTCCCATCGCATTGCCCCTATTTGGCCTCGCCCCTGCAGAAAATAACATCAGTGAAAAAGACCAAACTGACTTGGCATAGAAAGTATGTGAATTGTATATTACTAATGTTATACTCATCAGTTGCAGAAAGAAAAATATAAAAAATAAATCAATCAATTACAAAACCAAAAGAACAAAAGCTTTAATAAGCTGTTTCCAAAACGAAGTAAAGAGTTGGTCCATAGCCTCATCGAGGTAAAGATATAAAAATATTTTGGTATAATTTCAGGTTGTAGACTAACCCTTTATCATTGTTTAGAAAAAATGGAAGGCAAATGAAATCTCCTACATAAACATTACTAACTATAATTGGACTGTTTCCTTTAAACAAACACTGAAATAATGTACCACGAGGACATCTAGTGGTAACTTATTAGAAAGAACTACAAGATGGGCTATAAAAGCTCTAGCGTGGTATGAGTGGATAGACCTATGACCTCCTGAGGACCTCCTGAGGACGTCTTCTATGACGAAACGCGTCGGGGCGGATCTATTCTAATTCAATACCACGCTATACCAGGAAGTAGCAGACGAGTGAGACGCTACACTACACCGGCCGGTTTTTTCGATTTTAAACTGTGAGTGATTCTTTGTTTTTATAAATAAACGTTTATGCATACCACACCATGAGGAGGTTTCTCTCTTTATTGTAAATCCATAACGGACGGGATCTTACTAAAAGAAAACGTTTGAAAGATGGACCCTCTAGCTTGGGACTTTTTGCTTCATTACCTCAACTGTGGGGTGAGTACACACCCAAAAGGGGGCAGTTTGAAAACACTGACAACACTGTGGTGTGGGAAGAAATTCACCAACTGATCCACCAACTGGAGATATTTGTTTGAAGTGCTCATCGGAGTCAATTTTAAGTTATATCACGTTTTTTCTAATTTCTATAATTTTTATGATAAATGGATCACCATTTGGGACTATTGTAAGGTTTTGATGCTGGGTATCAGCTGTTCACCAAAATGTTTTGACACTAATTTATCACTTTATTATTGAAAGACACAAGAGTGAAAATATTATATAATATATCTTTTAACACTGTATATAATTGTGATACTGAATATTTTACACTGTGGACACACTTTTTATTTATAACTATTTAATCAGATAGACACTGAATAGTATAGATTCTTTATATTACCTAATTTATATATATTTATATATTTATTTATATATATTTACATATTTATTTATAGCAAACACTTTATTTTCTAGCGCTGCACAATTTACACTTTATCTATAATTGGACATCAGTGCCAATGTTTGTGTGGGTATCAGACTGGGAGGTTTTTACCTAATCCATGCTATTCCTCTTGCTATCCCATCTAATATTATTATTAAAATTATACAGGATTTATATTGCACCAACAGTTTGCACAGCTCTTTACATAATGGGGACAGTACAGTTACAATACAATAGGATTAGGGGGGCTCTGCTTGTGAGAGCTTACAATCTAATAGGAGGGGCAAGTGATACAAAAGGTAATAATTGTTTAGATTGTGTTAGCGGAAGAAGTAAAAGGACAGTTATGTTTAGTTGGGATAGGCTTCCTTGAAGAGATTCGTTTTTAAGGATTCCCTAAAAGGTAGACAGAGTAGGAGATAAGTGGACAGATTGGGGTAGAGAGTTTCAGAGGATGGGAGACACTCTGGAGAAGTCCTGGAGGCGAGCATGGGAGGAGGTGACGAAAGAGCAAGTCTTGAGGAGTGTTTTGGTGATATTTTGAGACGAAGTTGGAGATGTAGTCGGGGGCAGAGTTGTGGATGGCTTTGTATGTTGTTGTTAGTATTTTATTCATTGGGCAATTGGAAGCCAGTGGAGGTATTGACAGAGGGGGGCGGTGGCAGCAGCATTCATGATAGACTGAAAGGGGGATAGCCTGCATAGTGGTAGGACAACAAGGAGGAAGTTACAGTAGTCGGTGAAAGTTTACAAGGGAGTGAATTAGAAGCTTTGTGGTTTCATTTGTTAAAAAGGGGCAAATTCTGGAAATGTTACAGAGGTTGAGTCTGCAAGATTGGATGTGGAGCTGAAAGGAGAGCTCAGAATTAAGGATTACACTGAGCACCCTGGCTTGACGGGAGGGGTTGATTGTCGTGCTGTTATTGTGATGGAGAAGTCAGGGGAGGGGACACGGAGAGGATATATTATAAGCTCAGTTTCGGACAAATTGAGTTTGAGGTAGTGGTGTGACATCCATGTTGATATGTCAGTGAGTAGATTAGGAACACCTGAAGAGACAGAGGGGGTGAGCTGAGGAGTTAAGATATACATTTGGGTTTCATCAGAATAAAGATGGTATTGGAAGCCATGTGAGGCTTCAATTGACCCAGGAAAGAGGTGTAGATGGAGAAGAGAAGGTGCCCAAGGACAGACCCTTGGGGGACATTCACGGAAAGAGGAAGAGGTAGCATTGTAGGTGACACTGAAGGTGCGCTGAGATAGGGAAGACATGAACCATGAGAGAGCAGAGTCTTGGAGGCCAAGGGATTTGAATTTATGAAGGAGAAGCGGGTGGTCAACTGTGTCAAAGGCAGCAGAAAAAAACTAAAGTATGAGTATAGAGTAGAAACCATTGGTTTTTGCAGTTAGTAGATCGTTAAGTTTTAGAAGGGCAGTTTCTGTGGAGTGTTGTGGACGAAAGCTAGATTGAAACGGGTCAAGGAGGTTGTAAACGGTAAGGTGGCAGCTCAGGTGGTTGTAGACCAGGCGTTCAAGAAGTTTGGAGGTAAATGGGAGCAAGGAGATGGGTCTCGAAATGTTTAGACTGGTGGGCCCTAAAGAGGGTTTTTTTAAATATTGGGGTTACCAATGCTTGTTTTAGTGGGGTAGGAACGACACCATTAGAAAGGGAGAGGTTGGAGATGTGAGTAAGAGAGTATAGAATTAAGCATGTGTTGGACAAAAGAGTAGCAACTTCGTTTATGGTAACAGGATCGAATGAAGAGAGTAGTGAATGTGGTGGTTGACAGTGGAGATTTGCGTCAATCTTGTCTTTGAAGTGATTGGCAATCTCCTAGGCAGTCAGTGAGTTGGTTGTAGGAGGCGGAGGGGGACGAAGTAGGGAGTTAAAGGTAGAAAAAAGCGGACAAACACTAGACGAGAGGGTGTTAATCAGTGTGATGAAATAGGTCTGTTTGGCTGTATGGATACAGTCTCACAAGGATTTGGATTTACGCCAGTCACTCAAGAGCACAACTATGTCTTCTTCTTTTAGTGTCATCAGTCTGCCAAGGCTGTAGTGGATGGGGCCCGATTCTGTGAGTGGCGAGGGGGACAAGTGTGTCCATACAGGACGAGAGTGAACTATTGTAGAGAGAAGTGGCAAGGTCAGGGCAGGACAGGGTTGCGATTGTCATAAAGGCAATCTGTAGCAGAGTAAAGAAGAGAGGGGTTAAAGTGGCGAAGGTTCCTACGGGTAATGGTTTGCTGGTTGGAGTGGTGGGGGGCTAACGATAAGGAATGTGAATCTGATGAGGTTGTGATCAGAGTGGAAAAGGGGTGTTTGTGAGATTGCAGAGGTGGGAGAATATGAAATTGAGGGTGTTGCCATCAGAGTGAGTAGGAGTGTGTGCATCCATTGTGTTAGGCCAAAGGAAGAAGTTTGGCTGAGTAGCTCAGAGGTTGCTGTCTTGTTAATATTGACAGGGACATTAAAGTCACCAAGAATAACAGTGGGTGTTTCAGAGGAAAGAAAATAGGGTAGCCAGATAAAGAAGATGTCAAGGAAGAGTAAAATCGGTCCTGAAGGCCGATAAATCACTGCAATCACCAGAGAAACAGACGTATATTATGAACTTCTAAAGAGGAGAGTGATAGAGAAGGTGATGTAGGAAGAACGTGAAATGTGCTTTGTGGATATGGAAGGAAGCCAAGTCCACCTTGCTTCCACTGAGTCTGGGTGAGCGAGTCCAGTGGAGGCCACCATGCTAAAGGGCAGTCGGCGAGGCAGAGTTAGAATCCTGAAGCCAGGTTTCAGTGACAGAAAGTAGGTTAAAGGAGTTGGATAGATAAAGAGGTCATAGATGGAGGTGAGCTTGTTACAGACTGAACAACCATTCCAGAAAACACATGAAAAGGGGGGACTGGATCTTGGGAGCAGAGGTAAAAAATTGAGATTGCTTGGACTGCGGCCAGAGGAAGAAAGGTGTTGGGTGTGCTCAATAAATCTAGATTGTGGGGGGCCAGGATTAGGGGAAATGTCCCCAGAAAGCAGGAGAAGCGAGAGGGTGAGGGAAGTGAGATGAGAGTTAGATTAGAGGAGTGCACATGCCCTAAAGTCCTGGAGGCTTTGCCAGCATGTGAGTTCAGGATAAGCAAAAGTTAATGGGTGCAGTAACAGGGAAAAGGCAGGAGTGAGGGCGATGTGGTATGGAGTCGAGGAAAAAAGAGGGGTGAAGGAATAAGTGTTTAAGAAGAGGATACTACTGTGAGGAGAGGAAGAGAAGGCATGTTAATGGAGGAGGGAGATAGAAGCAGAATGTGAGAAGGAAAGCAGGTTGTAGGAAAGAGATTTACTTGCAGCCCTTATGAAGAATAGTTGCTGATGCTTTCATTTTGGTGCCTTTTTAAAAGTGAGCTGAGCTTGTACTTTTATAGTGATGTACTATGATAGTGAGGTACAATGTCTGCCTAAGCATTGACCTCTTGGCTGTGCCTTCCCCCATACGAGATTCTTAACTTATACTGGGATGGGGTGGGGGTTTGATTGCCAATTATTCTATTGGGAGTTGATAAGAGACACATAATATCATTTGTGCATAGAGGCTGTTGTGAGCTCTTCCATTGCTTCTTCTTTCTATGTCACTGCTCTTTACCCATTCCTAAAAAGCAGCTCGGAAAACTCAGAATCATGAAGGTAAAGTTCTACTTAACAATATTTTTGGATACAATTAAACCATCCTTCCTTTCCCTATTGGCTGGATGGATCATTATTTCTTCTACTAGCTAAGGTCAGCCGATAAAAAAAATAAAATCCAGCCA